TGATTTTTCAATATATTGTTCAAAGAAATTGTCCCAATAACAGTGTCTGAATCCACCTTCCAGGTTACCCTTGCCCAACTGATGTGAAGAATAAGGTTAACCGTGATTACTGTGGTTATCTTTCCAGCCAGCCCCATTATTTTTTGATGTACAATCTGTTCTGCAGCCTTTGTGTAATGACATGTCACATGTTCACCCTCACAATCTGACCCTACAGTCTCCAGCCTGGCTCTATCAGCAGCACCGTCCCAGGTATCCTTTCTCCATCCAATGAACTATCTCATTCATCTCCACAGGGTCAACGTGAAGATTTTGTAAAATCAAGAATAAAATACAGTGCTTCTGCTATCAGAGTAGCAAAGTAAGTTTATTTTAAATCATTTGGAACACAAACCAATCTTTTGTAGAAAAATACATGAACGGTTTACTGGCCTTCTACACAGTATCAGGGAAATGAGAGAAAAGTAAATGGCATCACCATTAAAGGAAATTAGTAATGAAATTATCAGTAAAATTTAATTTATTCCAAAATTCCTGAAAAGTGAATTAAAGGAAATGACAATATTTGGATCAAATGGGAGATTACTGAGACAAACCCATCATTAAAGTAATTACATCACCACGCACAGCAGTAAGTCACTTCTCCAGTCACTTTAAACAGTAAATATTTCCCTCAATAAAGTCTCCAGACTTGCTCAAAAAAGGAATCTAATGATTTCAGTGAAAGAAAAATGCTCACACTTTATCTTATTTCTATTTCTTTCATAAGTTCTGGTTTATGATATGTTTCATTCTAAACTTTACACTGGCTCTCAGTGTTGGAAGGTTCCAAGGATAGAATTGGGTGCTTCTATGTAACCCTTGGAGTTAGCACAGAATCTGTGGGCTCCACCTGGTGAATTATGAATTTTTCAAATGTGTCAAATATTTCCTTCCAATGTGCTGAATCTCATGCTCTGGTGTTGTCTGCACTGTGTGATTGCATTCAGTGACTGGCAATGTCAGTGAACTCTGCAATCACAGGGAATGTTTACCTGAGTGTACAAAGCTGGAGGTAAGAGTCTGTGCAAACAGGGACAGAACTGGGGAAATCACAGACAGTACGCTAGTCAGCACTCCCCTGAGGTCCACCATTACTAAATCTCCCATTATCAACATCTTGTAGGTTACCATTGACTAGAAACTGAACTGAACGAGCCATATAAAACAGTGGATATGAGAGCAGATCAGGAGCTGGGAATTCTGCAGTCAGTAACTCACCTCCTGACTCCCCAAAGCCTGCCCACTATCCACAAGGAACAAGGAGTGTGATGGAATACTCCCTACTTGCCTGGATAAGTGCGGCTCCAACAACATTCAAGAAGCTCAACACCATCCAGGACAAAGCAGACTCCACTTGATTGGCACCACATCTACTAGCTTAAACATTAGTTCTCTTCAACATCAACACGAGGTAGCAGCAGTCTGTATTATCTACAAGATGCACTGCAGTAATTCATCAAGCCTCCTCTTCAAGCACTTTCTCAATTCAAAACCACTTCCTTCAGTGTCACTGGGTCAAAATCCTGGAACTCCCTCCCTAAGTGTGTTGTGGGGCTTCCTACAGCACATGGACTGCAGCGGTTCAAGAAAGCAGCTCCCCACCACCTTTGGCAGGGTGATTGGCAAAGGGGAATGAATTCTGACCCAACCAACACGACACACATTTCTTGAACAAATCATGTTAGCAACAACTCTGATACTAATAGCTCTGCTCGTTAACTTTAGATCCTTGGATTCAATCCCTTCAGTTCATTCCCCACTCAACTAGCATTTGGGTAACATCTGTCCACAAGTCTCGCTAAACAGGACCCGATCTCAGGATAGATACTCACGGGAAGAAAGTCCCCACTGCGGCCGTGGTTGTGCTTTATTGGTTAAGAATGTCGCCTGACATGGAAACAAGGGACGGAGTTACAGCATTGGATCGCAAAGAGCACGTGACATTGTCTTGTCCTGGATTCTAAAACTTCCTTTTCGTCCACTTCTTTTCCGATAACAATTTTCACCCATTTTCAATCTTCTCATCTCTGTGATCTATTACAAAGCTGTTAATTATGAATTAATCAGACTTTGTTGTGGAATTTTCTTTTTGAAAGGACTTTCTTGTCCAAAGGCTAAGCAGCTGAACAGGCTGGCACTGAGAGAGAGGCACTGCTGTGGTAATCGATGGTGAGTGGAGGCAAAACCCTTTATCTTGAATTCAAATTTAAATTATGTTTTATAAAATAACATCACATAAGCATCTTTCCTATTATTGACCCTGCAGTCTTGGCAGTACTATGGTGGGATGTCAACACGTATCAACATTCACTCTGACTCCCTGTAGTAGAGAGATTTGGAGACCAATGAGCCACAAGTAACCAGAAGGTCAGGGGTCACTGCCACAGCCTCTGGTAGCTGCAGCTGTTAAACTCATCATCAGCTGGAAAGATTCTGTCACTCTCTAAGCTAAGAAGCCTTGGTTTCCACAACTTTATACAATTGTTCATTAAACAGTCTGCCTGACAGACAGTGTGCCACATTGACTGCACTCTGAATAAAGACAACACCCACAGAACTGCCCATACCCTCAGCTCTGAAACATGAGAACCCCTGACTTGATCAACATTTGTTTCAGGTGGGCTCTTGCTCCTGAGATCAGATTTTCAGATGTAGCAAAACAAAGTCAATTCTCTGGTGAAATAGTTAGAATTTGTTGAGAGGTTTAGAAATAAATTCTCCTCCCTGAGAGTTCCTAAACCTTTCCCGTTTCTCATTGTGGATTTTTACAGTTTTATTAAAAATGGGCAAATATCCCGATTCATTCCTGCACCTGATGTGCTTTTATGAGTCGACAATTTAAATTTTAATATTCAGAGGAAAAAGTGGACAGAATCTTGTGTAGTTTTTGGCATGTTTCGTGTCATGTTTTGCTGAAGTGAAATTTGCTGTGAGGCCAGACAAGCTTGCTCACTGAATCTTACCAAACTTCCTGCTTAAATTGCCATTGCTGACCCAATGGTGAATATCACGTTATCATTCCATCCCATGTTACCACACACTATTCCCAGAAGAACTCATCATTCACTAGACACCCACCACCAGACCAGGATGGCTTATGGCTGTACTATCTTCTAGAGCCCACGTGCACTGGAAGCAGCACTGGCATCTGCCCTGCTTGTGACTGGTGACTGGATGGAGATGTCCAACTAGAAACCTGGCACAGAGGTTCTCCAACAGGGATCTGGATACCCTGGTTGATGGGGTCTGTACAGGAGGGCTATCCACTTCCTGGAGGGCAGACTGTGCCACCAGATCAGAGACTACCACGTGGTCTGTGCCTTGTGCAGAGTTTGGGGGACGAGGTGGCAGTGCTGGATGGAGGTCAATATCCCCAATTTGCTCTCTGCTACCTCATACTCTTATATCAACCACTGCATCTACCTCCCAGCATGGCTTCTGCTCTGACAGCCCCCTCTGCTACATTCCCCCACACCGCCATCCCCCACAGCCCTGTCCACACACCCCCCCAACCCCTGTCCTCCACACCACCCTCCCAGTACCCTCTACACCCAACATCTTTTCTTGTTTGCTCTAGTTATCCATCTTCCTCCCACACCACTCAACCCAACATCCCTCCACAATAGCTCCTCAATCCCTCGGAATACCTCGACATCCTTCCCTCACATGCACCAGCCTCCCACCTGGGTCTCACTAATTTATGCCCTTTATGTCATTACAGGAGGGGACCTCCCACAATGGAGATGGGGCTGGGGGCTATGCTGGGGCTGGGGGAATGCCTGATCCCTGAATCCTCACCCTGCACAAGGAGATAAACCACCAGCTGGGCTGACCACACCTCCACCCCCATTCCCCTAAGACGCCTCTACACCCCACCAGCGGCAGCATTGAAACATCATGGGGCTCGAGAGGCGAGGGGAGTGTAAGGGGATCTCCCAGCCTCCCACAGTTCCACAGTCGGGTAAGGGAGAATCGCTCCAGGTAACTCACACTTGGAGGAGGTTCTGGCTCAGCCTGTGGTCCAGGAGATGATGAATCTTTTTGGGGGTTTGTAAGGCAGGGGCTCGAGGCACCATGGCTCTGTGTGTCTGCCTGCTCTGACAGGTTGCTGACTGCGATGGACAGAAAGGCCCACCTCCTAGCATGCATGCTGCAGACTCTCGCCCACATGTCCTCAGGGCCAGGGGAGGCTGGAGATCCTTGACTACTGCCAGGTGCCCCGTCCTCACAAGGAAACAGGGAACTGCCAAGAGGTAAACATCATTCCCGCCAGAATTACCCCACCAAATTGTCATAACCAACGGGCTGCTCTCTGGAGAAGACTCCCTCCACCTAATCTGTACAACAGGGGGTCTCAGTGGGAGGAGACAAAAGCTCTTGTGAGGCCAGTTGAGAATGTTATCAGTTGACATGTAGATAGTTTGAATTTCTGACAAAGATTTGTTTTCACTGTCTATGCGGTTGTTGTGCCTCTGTAGAGAGTTTACAAGCTCTGTCGTGCCTTGTGCCCTCACTTTTTACACCCTCCGGATGAGAAATGGTGGGGGCTATACAGTGAGTATTAACCAGATTGTGTGGGAGCAGGTGTGGCCATGGCTGACTCTGATACTTTCGGTCCCTCTGTCCTTCAGCACTGCCCACTGCTGGGCTGGTTGTGTGCAGGGGACTGTCTCACTGAGGTGATGGCCTGGAGGAGGCAGTGCCAGGAAGGTGCAACACACAGAGAGGGTCAATGCAGGATGATGACCATGGTGTTCCCAGTCTGCAGCTTTCATATGTTTGTGGCCATTGCTCATCCCCTGAGAATGCTCAGGCCTCTCTCTCACCCTCGGCTCCCTCACACCCCGCACTGGGTCCCAACTCCCCCCTTCCTTGCCCTTGGCTCCCTTACCCCTCTCTCACCCTCGGCTCCCTCACACCCCCACACCTTCACTCCCAACCCCCTCTCTTGCCCTTGGCTCTCTTGTCCTTCCCTCGATCTCAGCTCCCTGGCACCCCCCTCGATCTTAGCTCCCTAGCACGTGTGTCCCCCTCCCCAAACTCAGCTCCCTTGCTCCTTGCACCCTGTGTGCTTCCAGGTGGAAATGCCAGCGAGTGGCTTTGTCATTGGCATGACTGTGACCTGTTGCCTGGGGCACAAAGGCACAGTCATGCCAGGCAAACACTTGGGGCTAGTATGGGAGGTTACTCTGACTATCTATTGTCAATCTGCTCTGACCGATGAGCCCCTCCTGCAATTGGCTGTGGCCCGCTCCCCTAAGCCTTTCAGGCACGTCTCACTCCTCACGGTGGATACAGGGTGACTGTGCAATTGCAGCTGCCACTTGACACTGACTGGGCACAGCTCACAGCACTGCCATCTGCCTGGATGTGAGACTGCACCAACTGCCATTGCATTGCATGCCAGGGCAGGGCAGGAGCTTGACAGAGTAAAGGCTGAGAGGATATTTTCCCTCATGGGAGAGCCTATGACCAGGGAGCATAGTCTCAGAATAAAGGGGCACCAATTTAAGACTGAGTTAAGGAGGAATTTCTTCTCTCAGAAGGTTGAGAATCTTTGGAACTCCTTGCCACAGAGAGCTGTGGAGGGCAGAGTCCATCTGTATATTTAAGGCTAAGATCAATAAATTCTTGATAAGTGGAGCTTTCAAGGGGGAAAGAAAGTGGATGTGAGGAGTGTCAGATCAGCCACGATAATTTGAATGGCGAAGCAGGCTCAAGGGGCTGAATGGCCTACTTTTGTTCGTTTTTCTTATGGTCTGTTATGGTATTGTGGCATGGCAGGGTATGGCAGGGCATGGCAAGACAGGGTAAGGCATGCTACAACTATGCCAGTAGGCACCAGGTGAGTGTGCACCAAGAGATCAAGGAGGCAGGCCCTAGTAAGCAGCTTGATCCACACCATGGACCTGCTGCTTCTCCTGTGTTGCAGCTGTTCCACAAGTGTAGGATTCCAGGGTGCAATGCCAGGGCAGTGTGTGAAAGGTGGCAATGGCTTTGTGAAAGTGTGGTGTAAGTGCATGTGGTGAAAGAGTGTGCATGGATGGTCATGGGTCATGGGTCATGACCTGTACTTGCCTATGGGGAATGTGAACGTTGTTTGGAGCTGTCAAGTTGCTGTTCTAGTCTCCATGTCAAGCTTTCTGATGTTTGAGTTTGTATGGCTATGCAACCTGTGGCAAGTCGGGTTGTTAAGAAACAATAAAGAACATTAATTGGGAACTCATCACTCCCTGGCAACAATCTTGCCATTATTCTTGAGCAAACTGTATAAACTTTAGTTCGGCCACATTTGGAGTATTCTGTGCAGTTCTGGTCGCCATACTATAGGAAGGACGTGGAGGCTTTGGAAAGGGTGCAGAAGACATTTACCAAGATAATGCCTGGATTGGAGTTTATTAGCTATAAGGAGAGGTTGGATAAATTTGGAGTGTTCTCACTACAATGTCAGAGGCTGAGGGGTGACCTGAGAGAACGATGTAAAATTATGAGAGGCATGGATAGGGTGGATAGGCATAGCCCTTTTCTCAAAGTGGAAATGTCGAATACTAGGGTCATAGCTTTAAGGTGAGAGGGGGCTAAGTTTAAAGGAGATGTGTGAGGCAAGGATTTTACTCAAAGGGTGGTAGGTGCCTGGAACACGGTGCCATGGGAGGTGGTAGAAGCAGATATGATAGTCATGTTTAAGAGGCATTTAGACCGACACATGAACTGATAGGGAATAGAGAGCTACAGAGCATATGCAGGCAGATGGGATTAGCTTCGAATGGCATCATGGCCAGTACAGACATGGTGGGCCAAAGGGCCTGTTCCTGTGCTGTACTGTTTTATATTCTATGTTTAAACTGGGGATGTTGTGTTGGGATGGGCAAGCATTTTACCCAGTTCTGACAAATATCTCACCATGGCCCATATCATTCAGTCAGGGTCTGCTCTGTGGCTGTGCTGTTTTTGTGTTTACGCTGATTTTGATACTGATCCCATCGTGATATTGATAATGGTCTTAGCTTTCAGTCTAGTGAACAGAAGGAGGGAGCTCCCAGCTTCTGTTTACTGGGCGCCACAGAATGTTATGTTTCTGTTGTTCCTGCTTCTCTGAAATAAAAACAGGCTGCAGGCAGGTGACGAAATATAGACCATTCTCTACATTAGCTCATTAGAACTACTGAAAATAAAACTGCCCTCCTGCGATGTAAAGTCTCAGTCGTTGATTATTGGAAACAAATTACAGTTCTGACAATATCAGAGAATAATAAATTACATTAAAAACTCTGCCACTGTCTGAGTTTTCACTTTGGCCCAGACCAGGCTTGAATGAAGCTCATTGAAAGGATTAACCAGTGATAATGCTCCACATGCCTTTGTTTAATTGCTCTGGTCACAATGCGGAGATATCTTTAACTAACTCACAGGGAAACCTATACAATCAGAGAAACATGTTAATGTCACTGAAGTAATAACTCAGAGACTCATTAATGTCCAATGATAGCTGGTGGAACTTAATTTATAGAAGAAAAGTGACATTTAGTCCATGAAATTATTATCAATAAAACCCATCTGGTTCACTAAAGCACATTGCAGAAGTAAATGTGCCATCCTTACCCAGCTAATGCAACCCACAACAAAGTGACTGGCTCTTATCTACCCAATGAAAAGGTCTAGCTAGCAACTCAGTCAGGGCCAATTAGTGAGGGACAATAAATGCTGGTTTTCCCACTGACCCCCACATCCCTACCCACAGAGGCTGCATCTGACTGAAGGTCAGACTGGTGCCATTTACAGCTCACACTTCTGATAAAAATCATCTGTGACAGTAAAGATATTTAAATTACTTAAATGTGAAGATTCAAATAATCTGTAAGAGTACATATAGTGTTATATTAAAGCTCCTTTAACATTATGCAGTGTAGAGAACTAGATACAAGTAATCTATAGCACAGGGTAAAATTGATCAATCCTGCTCACTGTCTTTGAGCCCAATCCCCACCAGTGCTCACTTTCTCTTCACAACTCCAGTTCCACAATCACTGGCCCCAGTCACGCACTCCTCCACTCCAAACACACTGTTCCGCTTTTACCCCTCATCATCCCCATCTTAGTTCTAGCCCCTGGTCACACTCACCCTCAGTCTCTCGCTGCTGCATCCTTTGGGGAATACATTGCTCTGGTCGATAGTCGTTAGGCTCTGTTTATATGGCTAATCACAGGAGCTGTGTGTAAGAGAGATCCATGTAATATTTATAGCATTTTTGATTTTTTAGTGTTGATTGCATTAATTAAACAAAGCTGTTTCTGTTTTACAGGTAAGAGTGTTCTGCAGGTAGAAAGAATTTACTCCCACTTGGTATTGTACAGCCTGTGTATGTATATCAGTGACTGCTCTTGACGTGTTTGGACAAGCCTCTGGGATATGGATTTGATCATGTGATTTACATGACTGACACACGGCATGAGATATTGTGTGTCGTGTGCTTTCCACTGGGGCAGTTACACACATTACTGTTAAACACATGAGAACTGGTCTCACACTGGTCTCTCTCTCTGGAGACTTCTATCGTTTCACCCTCTATCCCAAGAGACAATTCTGATTAAATAATGTTTCTATTTACCACAACATATTTTTCTACCCTAAAAGCAGTGTTTGTCCTGTGATCCTAAATCACAAAACCTTTCTGAAAGGATCAACCCGTGATCTCCATGACTTTCAGATTGAGGAACCGCCTGGATATTCAGGAAGGTGAGATCTGAAATCATTTCAAAAAATTGTGAAATTCTTCAAAAAGTCGCTAAGAAATTGAACGACAGGTAAGAATGAGATTTTCCTTCACATCCACTGTAACCATACCCTAGGTGAACTCTGCAGATTAACTAGTAAATCACCAAGAGCACAGGTTAAGGAACCAGTGCTGCGTAGCAAGTGCATGAATAGGGCAGGTACACAAGGCAGTGTTTGATGGTGGGCAAGGAAAGGCCGTGGTTACAGTGGCACACGGGTACAGTAATGTTTCAGGCTGCATGGTAACACGCCTCTGTTGATCTGATAGAAGTCCACCAGCTGAATGAGGTCGGTGAATTTGGTCTGCCCGGTATCCACAGTGAAGTAAGTTTGACCATCCTCCTCGCACTAACCAAGAGAAAGAAAACAGACATTTAAACACCGCTCCAAAGGCCATGCTACTTTCTGCAGAGCTATTGGTTGATCTCCCTGCCTAGCTTGGACCAACAATATGGCCAGGCTGACCAATCTCCTGTCAACTTCAGCCTGATTGGCTGGATTCTTCCCTCCCACCCCCACCCCGGGCAAAAACTGCCCAACACTGTCTGTGAACACACTCAGTGAGGACACAAACAAAGCATGCCAGGCCGAATATACAGAACTCACAACAATCTAATTTAATTCTCAAATAATCAGAGCTAACTCCAAATATTCTATCTCAGTCCCCAACATTGAACATTGTAGGTTTTCACCTTCTTTCCTGCAGACTGACTGCTTTTGTGGTTAAATCCCACACACACTGAGTCTCACTGGGGAACGGCCCCACACACACTGACTCTCACTGGGGTACGGCCCCACACACACTGACTCTCACTGGGGTACGGTCCCACACACACTGACTCTCACTGGGGTACAGTCCCACACACACTGACTCTCACTGGGGTACGGTCCCACACA